TGCTTCGTTGATCTGACTGGTTTATTTGGCCCATCTATCACCAACATAGGCCAATCAGCTAACCAGTATTTTCGCCCCTTCCCAAAATTACTTCAATGGAAGGTTTCCAGATGGATATGCAGAGCAAATCCATCTGGCCGAGTCAGGTTACTGCTGGTCTGCAGGTTTTGGAGGTTTCCCTGCTTCAGCACAGCAAGTTTCCATTGATAGATGATAATCCGTGTATGGTTCGTTCTTTGTTTTTTTTCGTTTCAAAACAAAAACTAAAAAACAAAACAAGCATGCGTTTTTTCTGTTTTTCCGTTTTTAAAACCTAAATCTAAAAAATGAAAAATTGCATTAATAGAAAATCAACAGCGTTTGAATTTTGTTTTGCCATCTAAATGAAAATTTAGATGAACAGTTTTGAAAATTACGGTTTTCATTCTTTTCCTGCTTTGTGTGTTAACTTTCACAGTTGCTAAGCAACAGAGCATACGGAGGTAAAACCCACCGAAGGGTAGACCTGTTTGAATTCACAGCCAAAACTCTTCCGGTCTCCTTATTTTCAAGGACTTCAAAGGATCCAGTCTAGGTAGACCGCGTCCTTAAAGGATGCAGCCCAGGATTTCGAACAGAGCCAAACGTTTCCATGTTGGTAGTGCTAACTGAAAAAGTTCTTCTTGTGGATTGTAATGGCCGTTGGCAAGAAATTTAAGGCGTACATTACCGCCACCTACTGGTAACTTAAAATATTTTGTGTTGGGAGTTCAGGTCTTCATTTCCGGTTCTGCCATAAGGTCCGTTGAATTAACAACAAAATAAAAGTTTGTCTTTGGTTTAACTATTGCAGTTAAAAAAAATCCCAAAACGTACCCTTTTGTACTGTTATTCATTTTTGCAAATGCCGTTTTTTTAAATTTCGTTTAAAAACGGAAAAACAAAAAAACCACATGCTTGTTTTGTTTTTTTTGTTTTTGTTTTAAAAAAGGAAAAAAACTAAGAACGAACCGTACACGATGATTAACAGGATTTTTCTAAACTGCAATAATCAGAATCAGCTGTGCTGAAGCAGAAAAACCTCTGAAACCGGCAGGACAGCGCCCCCCGAGGGCCGACACTGGGTTAGCCTGCTACAAAGATAATTAACTCTGGGAGCTGATCAAAGATTTAGTAGCCCTACTTATTTGAACCTTTAAAAAGAAGCCTGAAAGGCTCAATTTTTTCTCGTTTATTATTGAATAAAGAATAAAGTGGGATTAACCCCAGATTATTCTTCTCTGACTCTTTAAAAGAAGACCTCAAAGTACCTCTGTATGCTGCACCCCCAACATATCTCCACACATCATTCATAAGTCTTTGGAAGTCAAGATGCACCAATCTATGGGCTGCTATAATCCAGGATTCCCTCTAATTGGTAATTAACGGATCTAATCTTGATAAATCTGATCTAATTTTTCCTGTTCAATAAATGCAGCACATCTGAAATCTCCCACTTTCCATTGGTCTGTAAACCTACCAGCAGACACCCTGGTCTTTGCCTCACCTTTTCATGTAACAGATAGAGTTTAAGGACGAACACTCTGATGCATTGATGGGGGATTATCTTGTAATCCCTTCATTTTTCTGTTGGAATCCGAGCGTTGAGCCTCACTCCAGAAAGCTGCAGCTCGTTTTACCTTTTATAGTCAAACAATGTAACATTTAACAGTGGAATAAAAACTGTGCGTGGGTGTTTTTCACACCTCCACTCTTAAAACCTGAAGGAAAAACAACAGGATTAAGTCATCTCCATGTCAGTACGCATGATGTAAGCAACAAATGTATGTTTCTGGGTCAGTTGGACCACAGTGGTCGACACATAGTGCTCTGGTTTGTTTAAAGTGCTTAAAAAGAAAAGGAAACACCTTAAAGAAAGAAGGACATGAATCCTTACCTGTTTTATCATTGTGTTGGTCATAATGAAGAATTGTTATTCTGGAAGTAAAAAAAATTCACTTAGTGAAACAAACTAGTTGCTACTTCTTTTCTTTCATCTGACTGTTTTCTTTCTGCTGTTAGGCTCAGCATTACAGATAACAAAGAAAAGAAAACTTTGAGACACTGGTCCTCACACTTTAATAAAAGAAAATAATCTTAGGTTTAATCTTTGACAGAAGTATGAAGATGAGTTAAATTGACACATTCCTTTACCAATAAATAAATCTGAGTGTCATCAGCATAATGTTTAACTTTTTGAAGCTAAAGCTCTGCGGGATCCTGATTATTAAACAATATTAATTTACATGGGTTATGGATTCAATTCATTTCAATTCAATTTATTTATATAGCGCCAATTCACAACACATGTCATCTCAGGTCACTTTACAGTTCAACCAGATCATCCAGTCAGATTGATTCAACGTTTTCTATCTAAGGAAAACCAGTTGATTGCATCAATTCATTGATTCGAAGGCAATCCCTCACACTAAGCATGCTTGTAGCGACAGCGGAGAGGAAAAACTCCCCTTTTAACAGGAAGAAACCTCCAGCAGAACCAGGCTCAGTGTGAGCGGCCATCTGCTGAGGCCCACTGGGGTAATGAGAAGACACAGTTTGATTCTCAAAGAAAAGAGTTTTACCTGCAAACAGGTGATTCCCAAAGAGATGTTAGCTAAACTCTTCTCATCGGATGATCAGCTAAACTACAATGCATCTGTTAGGTTGAAGATTATCTGCTTGGATCTTAATTTCCTTATTGAAAATAACACTTTGTCATGTTCTAAAATGAAAACTGCAATAATAACATCTACTAAAATCAACCCAGACCATTCTGAATATTGTCTGGGTTGCATATAGCTAATTCCCATCCATCATGTTAACCAATTAGGAAATGTAAGGCTCACTTTAATCCTGCTTATTTGTACTTAAGGTGGACTTAATGCAGATCAGGGCTGAGCAATATGGCTTAAAATAAACAATGAGTTTTCATTCCAAAACTGATTAATTGATTTTATTTCAGTGTTTTGATAAATGACAAAAAAAAATTTATAAAGTTGATTATTATCAAGTCCTAACACAGGAATCCACATCAAGCTCGGCTTCTATCACTGCATCCTCTGATTCAAACAATTAAATAGGGGCGGAAATATTCTGCTTGGCAGGAAATGGTTTTAATAGTAAGATTTTTTTTAAATGTAACATTAAGCTGAGTGATGCAGGAAGATACTATATACTATACAATCTCAAATGTCCCTTTTATGGACACTGTGCAGCGCGTCCATACATGAAATATGACATCCTACCAACTATTACATTACGCCCTGTCAGCCTGTTAATATCCCAGGTTTTACCTGCTGTAATGTGCAGCTCTGGCTCTTAGTTGCAGCCCTGTTCATTTGCTCTGATAAAAAGTGAAGCAGCCAAAATCAGAAAAAGCTGTTCCAGTTAGACCACCTGCAGAGATTAGGAGGTCTTCTTGCTGTGCGGCAGACAAACGCGCCGAGACGAGGGAGACCGCCTGTCAACACAAACCCATACAAACCGCATGTTGTCTGACGGATTATTTATGTGAAACCGGCAGCTGCTTGGAAACGCGTCCTGAGCCTGAAGGATCTGTTTGGGTTTTACTGTTAATGAGCTAAAACGTGTCGAACATGAGCGGCTTCCAGGAGGATTAGATGCTGGTCTGAAAGTTGATCCTGAGTCAGTCACTTTTACATGTTCATACACGATGAAGCCCTCACTTTTTTTACATTAACCCCCCCCCCTCTCTCTCTCTGTGTGTGTGTAGCTGACTGTCCGCAGGGCTGTAAACATGGAGACTGCGTTGGACCGGACAGATGCAAATGTCGCCCTGGATACACCGGCAAAGCCTGTAACCAAGGTAACCTAGAGTTTCCATGTAGAGGTGAAGGACTGGGTGCTACTCTGGACATCTGGACCCAGAAGATCCAGATGTTGGTCTCAAGGAGACCATTCTTGCTGTGTTTTCATATAATAAGAGTCGACAGACGCATTCTTGTGATGCTTGGTTGACCTTTGAGGGCGTGTCTTACCTGAACCCCTCAAAAAAGAAAAAAATGCACAGAGACACGCCTCCTTAATCTAAGATCAGCTCCAGCACACTCACTCCACCCACTGATACACACCAAACCCACAGCATCACTGATTAGAGGCTTCATTCTGACTCATATCCTGACTTTGAACAGCAACTGGTCGCTACCTCACACCCCGGCAGCGTGTAATATAACACCCATGTTTGGGAGGGCGCTCAGGGACACGATGCAGTCACTGGTTTAACCATCTGAGGACCCTGGTTAAAACACTAAGCATCCTCTGAAAACTCAAGGTGTCTCTCTTTATACAAACTGCTCTTATTTTTGAGTCTCTGAGGACCTTAAGGTCCCCACAGGAATAGTAATACATGCAGACACACTCTGAAAGCTCTCCTGCTCACTAAGTGGGCTGGAGGTCAGAGGTTAATCCAACAAACCAACGTCAGGAATGAAAAGAGAAGACGAGGAGCTCTCGGGTTAATGTTTGACCTCTGACCCCCTTCCTCTGCTTATGTGTGCGTTTCAGACCTGAACGAGTGCGGCGTGAAGCCTCGGCCCTGCAAGCACCGCTGCATGAACACGCCGGGCAGCTACAAGTGTTACTGTCTGGACGGATACGCTCTGCAGCCCGACGGCAGCTGCAGGAGTCAGAAACTCTTCCCTCTCTTCCTGTTTGCAGATTATTTTCCACATACCTGATTCCCACATATCTGATGTAATGCCTCGGCCTTTTCCTCTAGATGTCAGAACCTGTTACCATGCCAACTGCCAGTACGGCTGTGAGGTGATGAAAGGCGAGGTGCGGTGTACCTGTCCGTCTCCGGGGTTACGGCTGGGCCCAGACAGACGCTCCTGTGTGGGTCAGTCTCTGGTCCTGAGCTCAGGGAACCTTTCTGTTGTTGTTTTATCATGGCTGACTTTTCCTCTCTGCAGACATCGACGAATGTTCTCAGGGAGGTGGAGTGTGTCCCCGTCGCAGGAAGTGCTACAACACGTTCGGGAGCTTCTTCTGTAAATGTCACCTGGGCTTCAAGCTGATGTACATCAACGGGCGCTACGCCTGCGTCGGTGAGGCTGCATGGCTGGGTTACAGTAACGGGTCGGATCTAGAGTATCTGTCATCTATGTGTTGGTGAAGATTATCAGTCATCAAGGTCATAGTCATTCCAAAACAGGACTTTATTTTCCAAGTTTGAAGATGTTTTGCTTGCCATACAGGAATTGAATAGCAGACATGGGCAATGTGGAGTCAACAAGTCATCTCCATGTCATGTATTTGACAGCCACTGAAGCAGGTGAGTCCAATCTTCACCGTGAATTAACCTGTGCAGATTGGACTCACCTGGTTAATTGGCTGGGTAGATTAAATACATGACATGGAGATGACTTGTTGACTCCACAGTGCCCATGTCTGTTGAATATAAAAAGCTTCCTGGATGGGAAGCGAAGCATCTTCCAACTTGAAAAAAAAGTCCAGTGGATTGTCTTTTAACTTTTTTTTTTTTTAACTTTTTTGTAATGAGTGTCCTCTAAAAGTAGAAATACCTCTAAATTTTTCAACATTTGATCAGACTACAGCTGCAAATTGAATGAATTTCATTTACATCTGAAGGAACAGAGGAGCACAAAGCAGTGATAGCAACAGATCATTTTCAAATTAAACTCAGTAGGAATCACTTTCATGGTAACAAAAATTCAAAGAGTCCAAACTCAAATGTTCTGTTTCTGACATCAGATGTTTGACCAGGAACATTAGAGGAGACAAAGAAAAACAGCAGGCAGCTAT